TTTAATTTTAAGAGATTATGGAACATTAGAAAGTGCTAAAATTATGGCTCATATCTCAAGATTTTGTGCAAGATTTCTTGGAGATTATGGATTTTCTATTGGAATCTCAGATGTTACACCATCTGCAGATTTAACTCAAATGAAAGAAGAATTAGTGAGTGAAGGGTATAAAAAATGTGATCAATTTATTGAAGATTATAAAAGTGGTAAACAAGAAGTTCAAGCTGGTTCAACACCAGAACAAACATTAGAAGCTTTACTTAATAATGAACTATCAGAAATTAGAGAAAGAGCTGGTAAAAGATGTATTGAAGAATTAAAATCTGATAATTCTCCATTAGTTATGGCATTGTCTGGAAGTAAAGGTTCTGTTATTAATATTTCTCAAATGATTGCATGTGTTGGACAACAAACAGTTAATGGTGGAAGAGTTTCTGATGGTTTTATTTCACGTTCTTTACCTCATTTTGCATTACATTCAAGAACTCCACAAGCAAAAGGATTTGTAAAGAATTCATTCTTTACAGGATTAAATGCTACAGAATTTTTCTTCCATACTATGGGTGGTAGAGAAGGATTAGTAGACTCTGCTGTAAAGACTGCAGAAACTGGTTATATGCAAAGAAGATTAATGAAAGCATTAGAAGATTTACATGTTCATTATGATGGAACAGTTAGAAGTGCATCATTAACAGTTATTGAATTTAAATATGGAGATGATGGGTTAGATCCATTAAAAGTAGAAAGTGATAAGTATCCAATTAATTTAGAATCTGTTTTATCTAATTTACAACAAAACCAAAAACCAGATGATGAATACATTACACCAGAAAATTTTGATAAAGAATATAATGCAATAATTAGTCAAACAAAAATTGTTTCAGAATTATGGAAACAACAATTAGAAACATTTTTAAAAGAAAAAAAAGAAGAAATGATAGAGATTTATAATCGTTATGACCAAGAAAATGCTCAACATGGATTATGTGGAATTACTATTCAGACATTAAAAGAATTTATTTCTATTTGTCAAAAAAAAGGTCTTAGAAGTGTTTGTGAAGCTGGAACACCTGTTGGTGCATTGGCTGGACAATCTATGGGTGAACCATCAACACAAATGGTATTAAAGACATTCCACTTTGCAGGTGTAGCGTCAATGAATATTGCTCTTGGTGTACCACGTATTAAAGAAATTATTAACGCAAGTAAAAAAATTCAAACACCAATTGTTACTGCTAAATTAGTTAATTCTCAAGACCTGACATCAGCAAGAATTGTTAAAGGAAGGATTGAAGCTACTCGATTAAAAGAAATTGCTAAATCAATTAAAATTGTATTTAAACCAGCTGAAGCATATATATCAGTAAAGTTAGATTTTGAAACAATTAAACAATTAGAGTTAGAATGTACTATTGAAAAAGTTCAAGATGTATTATTAAATTATCGTGGATTAAAATTAAAAGATAACCAAGTTATTATAAGAAATAAACAAAAATTAAGAGTTTATGTAGATAAAGCAAGTACTTCATTATTGTTTGCATTAAATTCATTAAGAAATCAATTATTAGAAGTTATTGTTTGTGGAATTGAAAATACTGGTAGAGCTGTTATTAATAAAAATAAAGGTTTATTTGAATTATTAGTTGAAGGAAGTGAATTGTTAAAAGTAATGGGTACTCCTGGAGTAATTGGAGAAGAAACTACATCTAACCATATTGCTGTTGTAGAAAAAGTACTTGGGATTGAAGCTGCTAGAAGTACGATTATTTCAGAAATTAAAAATGTTATGGATGCATATGGTTTATCTATTGATGTAAGGCATTTGTTATTATTATCTGATTTAATGACATTCAAAGGAGTTATATTAGGTATCACAAGATATGGTATTTCTAAAATGAAAGATTCTGTATTTACTTTTGCATCATTTGAACGTACTAACGATCATTTGTTTGATGCTGCTGTCCATTCTAGAAAAGATGAAATTAAAGGGGTTTCTGAAAGTATTATTGTTGGTAATCAAGTAGGTCTTGGAACTGGATTGATGCAGATTCTCTATGATCCACCAAAACCAATTTTCTTAAAAAGGAAATATGACCCACTTTTTTAAAAGAACACTTTACATTAAATGATTGGAGTTTTTTAAATTTTTTTTAATTAATAAAAACATAAATCAAAAAATAAGAGGAAACAGAAAAAATGGAAGTAAAAATAAAAATAGAATCTAAAGGGTTGAGGTGGTGAGTCAACAATTTGCAATTAGTAATAAAACTTTGTGTTGTTTTTTGTTTAGATTGTTAGTAATTCCTAAAACCCTGTAATCTCTATCTTGAATGGATTAACAAAGAATGGGAATTGCTGATCAATTTGGGATGTTAATTTTTATTATGACTGTAGCTTTTATTATCAAAATTATTTGGTATCGTGGAGTTATTAGGGAAAATAGTGGATTACTTATGAAAATTGTATTTAACATAGCGTTACCTTGTATTGTACTAAAAGCACTTATTAATCAACACTCATTAGATTCTGATGCATGGGTTGTTTTTATGGCAGGATGTATATATGAAATAGTTTTGGCCATTTGTGGCTTTATTATTTTTAGGTTTATTTTCAAATCTGAAGTACCATGGATACAAAAACTTGGAGGGTGTTTAGGTTGTAATATTGGGTTATTCTTATTTCCAATTCTTGAGATATTAGATGGAGACCATGCTATTTCAATGTCAATCTTATTTAATTTAAGTAACGACTTTTGTTGTTATTGTGTTATTAGACCAATCTATGCTATACTACAAAATACTAATAAAACTATTAAAGATGAAGAACAAATAGACATTGACATAGAGTTAAAAGATGAAGAATTAAAACAAATAATTCCTGAAATTGAACACTCTATTATTTTAGGAACACCAAGTCCATCTATTTCTGTTGGTATTGATACTCTTTCAAATTATGGAATGAAGTCATCAACTACTCCACCAGTTAATGAAAAATCTCCAAAGTTACAAGAAAGTGGTTCAATAATTACACCAGATAAAGCTCAAGATACTGGTCATTCTCAACAAATTGTTATTCAAACAGAAAAAGAAGGAAATATTCTTAACCCAAAAAGCAAAAAAGAAAAGAGATTAAATTCTACTGTAGATAAAAAACATTTAATTTTTACAATATTAAAATCTATTTTCACTTCAGTTCCAATGTATTTCTATCCATTAGGTTATCTCATTGGGCTTTGTAATATTCCAGTTCCTTTTGTGATTAGAAAAATTGTTACAACTGTAGCCTCAGGAAATACTCTTCTTGCCTATAGCATCTTAGGCCTTTTCTTTGAGTGGAAAATTCCATTAAAATATATTAAAGTTGTTCTTCAAGTTGCTATTTTTAAAATTATTGTTGGACTTATTGTTGGGCTTTCTATTTATTTTTCTACTGGAAATGTTGCAACTCATATAACAAGAGTTTGTATTATGTTGTGTTGTCTATGTCCAGCACCATCAGTGAATATTATTTATTGTGTAGAGTATAATGTTGCCCATCTTGAATTTTCATCGGGGATAGTAAATTACACCAACCTCATATGCTTTGTTACTATTATGGTTGTTTATTCAATCCTTGCTTAAATAATCTAATTTGTCAGATTTTTTTTTAATATAACTTTTATAAAATAAATGTGATTAATAATTAAAAGATACGTCAATTAATCTATATATTAGGAAAGGGTTGTCTTAACTTATTTATGATGATCCATTCTTATCGTTTGTTCTTTTGTTGGATTTAAATTTGAGAAAAATATATTTTTTTATACTTTGTTAGAATGAACAATAAGAGGATGGTATCTATAAAGAAAAAAAAATAAAGAAATATTATTTAATCTATTTATTATAATATTTTTTAAATTGTTTTTGATATCCAATTAAAGAAATTTTTTTTACAGCTTTATAAAAGAAAAGTATCCTAGATATATAATAAAATTAACAGTTTATTATTTCTTTTAGTCATTTATTTATTAAAGTTTATAATATTCTCATAACAAAGATAACAAAAAAGATATTAAAACTTATGTGATTCTTTAAAAAAAATATGTTAACTTTTATTTTAATTGATAAATATTATAGTACAAGATTCAAGAAAACTAAATGAAGGGAGTTTAACAATGAAATTAATTCATTTTCTTAATTTAAACTCAATAAATTATAACTTACCTTATTCAAAAAAATAAGAGTTATTAATAGATAAATGAAAAATTCTATTTTTAGGAAATTCCTATATTTAGCAAAATCTATAGAATTGAAAGTCATCAAATCAATTTTTTCTTAACAAAAAATACAAAACCATAATTTATTAAAATTTACGAAATAAAAAATTCAATAAAAAAAAAAAGAACTTAAATTGATATATATGGGTGGAACAAATAGTAAAGTACAACCCCAGAAAAAGGAAGTTGTTACTATTGAACAAAGTGAGGTATTAAAAAATTATAAAAAATGGTTAGTTGAATGGAGTTCAATGTTAAAAGGAGAAATAATTTATGACTCAAACACCGATTCAAAATTAGCAAAGGAATTCTATTCAATTACATTCAATAAACCAAATTTATATTTTATCACAATAGATGAAATGGGGAATAGTTTTGGTGCTTATTTTGATAAACCAATTGATAAAATGGATTCATGGATATATGATGAAAAAAATTTCATTTTTGTTTTAAATTCAAACAACCGATTTTCTGAACCAACAAAGTGGAATGCCAAAGTAGGAGAGCAAGGTGGGATTCGTTTTTATGATAAAGATATTAATAAGTTGTTTGAAGTAGGAAATGGTGAATTTTGGGGTGGAATGCGATTTGGCTATTATTCTATTGCTGACATTAATGTAAAAAATTCATTTTTTTACAACATATCTTTTAGGTATGATGGAATTAATAACACTGATTTAAATGGATGCAATAGCCCAAACAATCCTTTTTCTGTTGACAGAATCATTGTCTTACAAATGTCGAATTAATTTTTTTTACCATCTATTGGAATTTTAAAAAGTGTTGAATGATGAAGACAACTCGAAATAATAGTTGTTTCAAAAAATGATACATTAGTATTGGCTAATTCATCTAACTCCATTTTAGTATTGTTTTTGAGTAATGTTTTAATCTCTAACTCAATTTCTTGATTACACTTAACCACTTCTGATTCTAACATATGATTTGCAATAACTTTTTCTCGATCAGTTAATGGAGATATTCCTTTGGTATCTGATGGTCTTAATAAACTCCATCTTAATAATGAAATTCCTTCATCATTTTGTTTGGATATTCTTGAAATTCCGTTCTTTTTCCAACTACCACACAAAAAAGTCAAGAAAATTTCAATACCATAAACGTCACCATCAACAAGACAACATGGGATTATATTTAGTTTTTGTGTTAAGTGGTGAGCAATAGTAAATGTTGCATTATCTGGAAATCCCCTACTACACAAGATAATACAAGGAAATTGATCACTTAAATGAGACTGGACTAATCGCTCAAAAAATGCTTCCTTTTCTACAATTAAAAGAAAACATCTTCGATTAGGAATAATAAATTGAAATGGAGACGAAAGAATTGGTAGTTGAAGCTTCTTAGTAAAATCCATTACATAAATAGGTGTTACAAGTGTAACTTCACCAAATAATATTCCTCGTGGGGTATGGGTTAAATGCAGTATATTTAAGTCGTTAACTCCAAACAGTAATTTGATGTCTCTAATTAAATTTTCTAATTCTGTCTGATCTTTAAAAATTGTTTTATGAGTATAATAGAGTTCCCTTACTGTGAACTGTTTATTTGTTAATATTAATTCATAAATTGTAGAAAGGATAACAAGAAGTTTGAAGTATTTTTTTTTCTTAACTGTGAACCTTGGACATCTTACGTTACAATTACGTTTTGTTTGTAACAAAGGAAATTTGTGCTTTTGAACTAAACTTTTAACAACAACTTGAGTAATCTCTTCAATAATACATATAACATCATTAGAGTTTGCCATACTATTTTTCCCAATAAACTTCAATTTAAAAAGTCACCAAAAAGAGAAGATTGAATCTTTTTTTTGTTTGAAATTGTCAAAAGGAAAATAAATCAAAATAAAAATAAAAAAAAAGTTACATCTTAATCTTGTTCTTAATAATTCTTATTTACAATTAAACACAATTGTCTAATTCTTATCACAACTTCTTTTGAGGATATCTGTTATTATCTTTGTTAAGCTTAAGACTTTTTATTGTTAGAAAAACTGTGTTTATATTATTTGAGCAAATTTTTCAAATAAAATAGGATTAATAACACTAAACTAAGTCATTAGTCTTGATATAATTATCATAAGTCCATAATAAAAGAAAGACAAAACACATACTTTCATAAAAATGTACAATAAGTTTAATCAAAAATTAATTTATTTTTTTATTGTGTTTAATTATAAACAATATTCTTATAACATTTATAAACTCATTACACACAACCTATTGACTTTAGAAAATTTAATTCTTGGTCCTAAAACAATCATAACTTGAATTAGTTTCATGATGGTATGTATTTCTTTTGTTATTATCATTGGTATCAAGAACATAAAATAAAATCTGATCAACAAACAAATTATTATCAAACACAAAATATTGTGTTTGATATTCTTTTATTAATTAAAACAAACTCAATAAAAATTTTGTTATTTTTTCAGACAATAATATTATTTAAAAACTATTAAAAAAACTAAGGACATCAAAACCTTGAAATAAAATAATTGTAATTAGGAGAAGATGGGAAAGGATAACAACATGAAAAGAAAGGGAAAAAGAACAGGAAACAAAGAAAGAAAACTAACTCCAAACAAAACAAAAGAGAACAAAAAGAAAAATGAATCAAAACCAAAAAAGTCATTCACAAAAATTACAAATTCATCAGTTCCTGCTGCTCGTTTTAAGAACAAAGTAAGTAAAATTACGAGTGTACTTGCTACTGGATCTCGGTTTAATGGGAAAAAAGTCTTAAGTGCACGTCAAGTCCAACAAGGAAAAGAAACAAATCAATACAAAACCTCAGCTAAACGAATTAAACAATTACGGCGTGATGGTGTTCCAAAAAAAGCAATTGAAGCAATGCTTCGAAAAGAAGCAAAAGCTAAAAAACATTCTCAAAAGAGAAGAAATGTAAAATTGGGAATTGATTAATTTTAGTTAATTATTTTTATGATTAGTATTAAATATAATAACAGATAAAATATAAAAACGAAAAGTGAATTATTTCCTTTAGATGTCCATTGTCTTTAAAACCTTTGTTGTTTTCTTCTTAAAAGTGAACCCAGTTTTTTTCAATCCACCAACACTAGCAGCTGCTTCCATTGCTAGTGGGTTTTGTTTACGTCCTTTAACCATATTACCTTCTTCTCCTGGAATAGGTGCTAATGAAGCCTTCTTTTTACCAGCCTTTTTAGCTGCAGCAGCCTCTGCCTTTTTAGCTTCTTTTTCTCTTTGTGCTTGAAGTTTTTTATTTTCTTCTGTAACACGGTTCCAATTTGAAATAAAAGTAGATAAAGTAGTAAAGAATTCTTCAGGGGGTGGTGGTTTAGCAATATCAAGTGCCATGTATTGAATTGCTTTTTTATATATCTCATTCATTTCAGTAAAGTCTTTAGCAACTGCATCTAATTTACCTCGTGTTTCTTCAAGGAATTGTTTCATAATTGGATGGAATTTTGAACCATCCTCAGGGATTTTTCCTACAGCTGTTTGAATATCGTTGTACATTTTTTCTAATGATTTGATATCACTTTCAAATTGAGCACCAGGTACTTTTGCTGCTAATGGAATTTCTGTAACCTCATTTTGCCATCCATCTACTTCATCTTTTAACTTTTCTGAAGCGTATTCCTGAATAATATGAAGAAGTGTTCTTTTATTATCACCAGTTTTTGTGTCAAGAGTTTTGTTAAGAGTTTCAAACTTAAATCCTGCAACATTACCTTTTGCTGTTCCTGAATTAAGGAAATTACCCATTAATAAAATAACTTCCATCAAATGAATGAATTTCTTACTATCAAGTAATTGGTTTGAAGCTTTTATAACATGTTTAATATTTGGTCCAACTTCTTCTAATTTAACTGGAAGTTCCATTTTTGATTGGAACGAATTTAATTTAAGGGTGATATTACTTACTCCATTTAGTGCATGGACAAACATCTCTGCACTTCCTAAATTATCGGTTCCTTTCTCTTTAATATGTTCTTCAACTTGTCCAATTTCTTCTTTAGCATCTTCAAGAGCTTTTAACATAGTTTTTATTGTTGAAGTTTCTTCAAACACTGTTTGATCTACACTATTAATGGCCGCACAAACCTCTTCTGGTGTTTTATTCTTAAACCCTTTAAGCAAAATCGTAAAGGTTTGGTTATTCTTAGCATCAAGAATACAAATAGGCCCTTGTTTTTTCGTTTCTTTCGGAGCTGCATCTGCTACTGGCTTAACCTTTTCAGGAACTTTGAACGCTGCTTCAATTAATGAAAGGTCAAGTTTTTGTTTTGTTTTATCTAATGTATCTAACTTAGTAAATAACGTTCCACTTAAGTTTTTGTCATTCATCTTTTGCCACATGAAATTCTTTACTTTGGATTTTGGTTTTGGGAGAGTATCAACTAATCCGTTAATGACTGGTGCTGCAGGTCTAAATCCAAATCCACCAGGGGGAGGTGGGGGCATACCTGGCATTCCAGGGGGAGGTGGTGGCATACCTGGCATTCCAGGGGGAGGTGGTGGCATACCTGGCATTCCAGGAGGAGGAGGTGGTGGAGGCATACCCGGCATTCCAGGAGGAGGAGGTGGTGGAGGCATACCCGGCATTCCAGGAGGAGGGGGAGGTGGTGGAGGCATACCCGGCATTCCAGGAGGAGGGGGAGGTGGTGGAACTGAACTTACTCCAGGAGGAGGAGGAGGTGGTGGAACTGAACTTACTCCAGGAGGAGGAGGAGGTGGTGGAACTGAACTTACTCCAGGAGGAGGAGGTGGAGCTAAAGAAGTGTCAGATACAGAAATACCCTTAGGCTTAGAAGCTAACTCTTTTTTTGTTTGTTCTATCTTCTTTTTAATCTCTTCTATTTCATCATTGATCTTTTTACTTTCAGTATCAATTTCTTGAATTTTCTCTTTCTTGTCATTTAATTCTTTGTTAACGTCAGAATTTTCTTGGTCTATTGACGATACTTCTTTTTCTATGGTTTTGATTTTTTCTAAAGTAATTTGTAACTGTTCTTTAGAGTTTTTTAAATCTTGTTTTTTCTTATTAAGGTCTTCAAGAATTGATTGATCCACAGTAACTTTTTCCCAATCAAGTTTCATTCTATCAAAAACTTCATCAATTTTAATTCTTTCTTCTTCATTGTCTCCAGACTCAACCTTTTTTTTATTAGATTTTTCATTATTGTTCTTAGTGACTTGAAGAGATATTTGTCTTATAATACCTGTAAGAATTACAATCTTCTTAATTAATAACAAATTGTCTTCTTTTGCTTTAGCAAAGAATAATATTTCTTTATGAACATTCATCAAAATATCACTGCATTCAAATTTGTCCATCTGTTCAGTAACATAATTATTCAATGATTTAGTACTTTCAAAATCAACAACCTGTTTAAGATCATCAAAACGAGACTCTACTTCCTTTTTATCTTCTTCCCAACTATCAAAGAAGTCATTAATAGAATCTTTAATTTTATCTACTTTCATCCATTCTGTATTTTTCATATTCTCTAATTCATTAACAAGTCCAATTTCAATGAAACTATTTCTTACATCCATACGATGTTCCAATTCAGGTTGATCGATTAAATTATTAATTAAAACTAAGGATGCGTGTTTAAATTTTTCACTTTTACTCTTACTAAATAATGAGAAAAATGAAAGGAACTTTTTCATATCAACTCCTTCAGAAACTAAGTTGGAAAATGCATTCATTACACACACGTCTCCCCCAAGATATAAACCTTCTTGACTTGGATGTTCTACCATAGATGATGTTAATGTAATTTCTAATAAAATATCTAATTGATTATCTGGTGTTATTCTTTTAGAGTTCATACCTTTTAATAATAATTCAACTCCACCATCTATCTCAATTAAAGCAACTGTAGCATCTTCTTCAGCAAAAACATATCGAAGAACTTCACAACATTTTCTCTCTTCATCAATTGCTATATTACTATTTTCTGTTTCCATTTTCTTTTTATAAATTGCCATTAAATTAGCAAGACCTCCAACTGAAACAAATGTCTTAATAAACGATACTGATGATGACCGAAAAACAACAACCATCTCATTTAATAAATCCATGTCATCTCTTGTCTTAAGAAGTTCAGCAAGATATTTAGGGTCAGTAATAGCATTTCTCCAATTACCTGTCTTTTGAGCATTTAATTGAATTCTAATATCTTTCTTTTGTTTCTTTTCATATTCTTGAACTAACTTCCATTGATTCGGGATAGTAATCAATTCAGGATTATCAATCTTCATTTCTTTAGCAACAACTGCAAATTTTTGTTGAACAACTTCTTCTGATGGCATTTCAACTTCTACTTTTATTGGTCTCTTACATGAAGTTGGTTCTTTACGGAATTTGTCAATACATTTCTTTTCATGTAAATAAATATTGCAGACTGTACAATAAACAGCCTTTTGTTTCTTTTTAATTTCTTTATTACAGTACACACATTTTTTATTCTCCACTGGTTGTGTACAATCTTTAAAGGTATGTGGAATCTTATCCATTAATAATTACTTTTTTTAGTTTTTTCTTCATCTTTTTTCCTTTTCAACTTTAAATTATTTATTTTTTTTAAGTTCTGCCTTCTTATGTCTAATTTTACTATTTTTTTGACTTTACTGGATAATTTTTATTGAAACAAAATATTTCTAATATTATTCTTTTCTATTAGATTAAATTCCCTTGAATAACAAAAAATTCTTTAAATAATGGTATAATTTTTGTTTTTATATCAATTTTGTTCTATTTTTAATAATAACACAATTTAGCCTTTTTTTTTAAATTCACTTTTTTCTTTCATAGTGGGTAATTTGATTTAATTTTAAAGTAAAAATAGAAAAAGGCAGAATAGATAGAATGTTATTTAAGATATGTTTTATTTTTGTTCATATGAACAGATAGCCAAATAAAAAATAAATGAAAATGAAATTATTAGAATTATAGAATAACAAAGAGTGGACCAGAGGGAAAGTTTCTTTTTGTCTCTTTTAACTATTTTCGGATGTTCAAATCAATGTTTTAGACATCATATGTTATTTTGGGTTATCTTTTATTTTGGACAATATACTTTAAAAATAATTTGCCATATTTAGTAACTGGAAATTTACATGAATATTCTTATTTAAACTGAAAATAAACTATGAGAAATAGTCTAAAACAAAATGTATTCATTACCACGACATCCATTTGTTGATTATCCAACATATTATGTACAAACAACATATACAAATGATAAGAATATAACTAAACAATTATTTAATTGTATTGATGAACAAGAAAAATTATTAAAAGAAAGAAAAAGAGAAGCAAAAAAATTGAAAGAACTCAAACCAGAACAACGACATCCAAAAATTCGAGTATCACATCAAGTCTTTAAAGAACTTAGAGCTATTCAAGAAGAAAAAGGATATAAGTCTTTTGGAGAAGTTGTTAGAAAATTATTAAATCGATATGGAGAAGATATCAAAATATCAGCACCATCTTCATTACCAAGTTGTAGTTAATTTATTTTTATGCTTTGTTCATTAATATTATTCTAACCAAACAAAAAGATTAAAAACTTTCAAAATAAATGATGGTACCAATCTTTATAAAGAAGTCTTTTATTTTCTTCTTCTTCTACTTACTTATTTCAAAGAACTGAGTTATTTGATTGTTTTATTATTTTTATATTTAAGTTCATCTTAAAAAATTTGTTCCCATAACTATTTCTTCTTGTAAATATTTTTCTGGTTTTAGAAGAAATATTAGATTTCAAATATAACTGTTTTCATTCATAAATGAATAACACAAATACTTCACTTGTTCAAAAACAATATCTCAACTATTTGAATACTCTCTCATAGTTTATTATAACCATTAATTTGTTTTGTTCTCTTCTAAAAAAGAATATGATATTCTGTCTTTAATTTTCTGTAATATTCCTAAGTTAATAAGTTTTATTCTCTTCATAACTTATATAAGAACATAACCAGAGAAGAAAAGGATAGTGATATTTAAAACTAATTATTTGTTAATATCCATAAGAATTAGAGAACAAAGTCCACATGTCTGGATTTTATTTAAGTGTGCTTACTAAAAGAAAAGATATCACATCAACTCAATTACTTATGATAGTAAATGTATTGTAATAATAATAATAATGTCTGAATCTAAGTTATGACGTATTATGTTATTTTTACTAGAGGATCATTATATGTAAAATTACAACAGAGTCTGATGAAGAATATTTTATAATCATTCTTTGTATTTCGAAATCATTTATGACAGTGTTTTTGTTTAAACATTATTTTAAATTGCTATGTAGTATATGATAATTTTTTGTTCATTTTGTTATTTAAACTAACCAAAATACTTCTTTATATCTGATACTTCACATATACTCTCTCTTAATAAATTCATACTAAATGTTAATTTATATTATTGCCAGGTTATATCACTACCACTTATAACACAAAAAAACACTTCAATTATATTAAATTAATTGTATTGATAATGTAAGATTATAACTCTAATCTCATTTTACACATATTCGAACTACTTCAATAATAAGCTATTTTTTAAAAAAAAGTGTTCAATTACAACACACAAACTTGTAGAATTCTTATAAATATTCTTAAATGTATTTAGAGTGTAAACGTGTTTCTTGAAAGATAAATTTGATAAACAAAATGTTTGTTGAGTTAACAAATGTCTAAAACACTAGTTATTTCTATTTGATAAAACCATTATTCATCATTAGTTGGAAGAGCTTCATCTCCTATAAAAGTTACTGTTGTTGGGATGTCAATCTGCTTCAGAGAAAGACAGCCTTGAAAACATCTTTCTTTAATTCTCTCTAGTTTATTAGGAAAATGAATAGAACTTAGTGAAATACATGAATCAAATGTATATTCATTGAGTTCTTGAATTGTATTAGGAAGAAATATGCTTGTCAAGTTATTACATTCATAGAATGCCCTATCTTTGATAGTGGTGATATTAGAGTGAATAGTTATACTTTTCAAAGAGTGACATTGTGCAAAACAACAACTTCCTATTGAAATACAACTACAAGGAATTTCAAAATGATTTTGATGTAAATCAAATTGGATATGAGTATGATTGATTTCTTTGAGGCTTGTTGGTAGTTTGATTCCTATAAGTTCTCTATTGAACAATACAAATCTATTAAATAAATAATATGGCTCAGGCACATTAAGACTCTTGAGAGAAGAACATCCCTTTAATACTTTCATTCCAATGTTGGATATATTTCTTGGTAAAGAAAGTGATGTTAATGATGTGGAACCATTAAAACAATTATTCTGAATAGAACTTAATGAAATAGGTAGTTTACATTCTGATAATGATGAACAAAATAAAAAGGCATTATTTCCAAGTGAAGAGACAGAAGATGGTATTATCACATTTAAAAGATTTGTACAACATGCAAAACATTCATTTGGGATAATACAAATATTCTCTGGTAATTGAATTTTTTTTAAATTTGTACAGAAGGAGAAACACGCATTTCCAAGAGAAATAACAGTATCACTAATTGAAATATCTTCTACTTGTGATGTACTAAAACATTTCATTCCAATTTTTGTTACAGAAGAAGGTATTACCATTTTAAGAGAGTCATACCCTTCAAAACAGTTATCTCCAAGAGAACTAACTTCTGAAGGTATTTTATCTCCAAACTTTTCTCTATCATATTGTGTATATTCAATAATTTTACATTCATTTCCTTGTTCTTTTTCTTTTAAATATGTTGAATAATCTATTAAATACCATATTATTTCTTTAAATATTTTTCCATCATCAAATATTTCATCATATTTATTATAAATATGAAATGTTTCAATATTAGTAAATAATTTTCTTGAATATTCATTTAAAGGAATTGGATTAAAATGAAATCGTTCCATATTTCCTCTAAATCTTTTAACACCTAATTCTAAATTAATAAAATCATTAATATCATTAAAATACATTGATACTATCATAATTTCATTATATCCTAATTGTTTTGTTTTCATTAGATTGGTTTTTAAGTTCTTAGTTAATTATATTTTGTTATGTATAGCATCACTTAATTATGGAGTTTTTGAAGAAATGATGAAGAAATGATGAGTATAAAGGAAGTTAATAGAAAAGTTACCATACTTCTAGTAAAAAGGTGTTGAAGAAATATAGAAAAAGAACTAAACTCAAAACCACAAAATATACCATGTCTTGTGGATGTCAAACTAATTTTGATTCTTGTTCTTCATTTACTCAAAATGAAACTAACGACCTGTCAATTGCTTGTTTAATGCCTTCTACTGATGTTGTTTTGGAGAATAACACCTCATCTAAAAATTACTTTAGTACTGAAACAAAAACACCCTCATTGTCTGTGTTTGATAACTCATCCTCTGTAATTAAAAAGAGAGAAGAAATGACAGGTATAGAAAAAGGGACAATACTTACTACTGACAATAAAAATCAAAGTATTGTAACAAATGGTTCAAAAGAGGTCATGACAAAAGAAAACCAAAACTCAACTCAACAATTAGAAAAAGATATTGTTTTGGAACAACAAACAGGAATATGTTCAACGTTTCACCCCAGTGTCTGTTGTGAGGAATATAGCTCGAAAGAAGAAATTAAGAAATCTGAAGAAAAAGAAAAGACTAAAAACCAATCTCAAACAAGTTCAACTTCAATTGAAGAAGATATCTCAACGGACAAAGAGGATTTTGAAGAAGATTTTAAAGAATTAGCACAATCAGAAGTACATTTATTTGAGCAAGCTTCAGCCATATTTTTAACAGCATCTAATAACATTAAATTAAAGAAAGAAAGTGGGATTACTAAAGATGAATTAGAAGTGATTAGACGTGCATGTGATGTTCTTGGAAGTGGGATTGAGGAATCATCCATAAATCAAGAAGAGTTAGATAAAATCTTTTTACAGAGTGATTCGACAATATCAAATAGTAGCGAAGATTACCAACACCACAACAAAAATAAAGAAAAGAAACCGAAACAAAACCAAGGTTTAAAACGAGTTAAACGAGTTATTAGTGTTCATAGTACTCTTCAACATCATTGAAAATGTTTTTAAATTTATTAAATAATGTTAATTTAAAAAACTAAAAAAAAAAAGAAAAAAGAAAATATTGAATCAAGATTACTTAGTTTTTAATGAGTGAAGAACAACCACAAATTATGACTTGGGTTCGGGCATTATTAAAAGATAAAGGAATTGAAGAATATCAAGACCCAGTTGCTGACATGGGACTAGAATTTCTAACACGTTTGTTTTTTTTTTAAATAAATAATGAAATAATGAAAAAGAAAAGAATATTAAAAAGAGTAGGATATTTGAGTGAATTAATTGGTGATATTATAATATTTTCTGAACATGCTCAAAATGTACAACCAACATTAAATGATGTTAAGATGGCAATTAAAATGAGACATAGAACAACTACTTCTACATCTAAAGATCAACTTAGAGAACGAGTTAATGCATGTAATACAGCTAAATTACCAAGAAATTTTGTTGCATCAGTTGAATTACCAAAACCACAAGATGATAATTATACATTATTACAAAGAAATTATAGAGTTAAAACAGTTTGTTAATATAAAATATTAAATAATTAAAAAGAGTTATAAAATAACAAATAGAATGATGATTTTGATGATGAAGATGAAGAAATAGATAAGAATATTAATACTGAATTACCAGTATTACCTCCTTCAATGTAATTTGATCAATAAATGAATAAAACAATAAATTTAATAAAATTTAAATAATAAAAATCTATTATAATGTCATTTTGGTTATTTTATTAATAAACATATTCCATAATTCTGTTCCATTCCCATTTCTTAATATTTTATTACGAGAATTTTTAATGGCTTGTTCTAAGTCTTTAATAATACTCTCATTACTAATTAATGTAATAACAATTTGAGGATGTATAGAATGTACTATTAAAGGATTTGATTTGATAAATTGAACAAATGGTTTACTAATTGATGTACCTACTTCTTTAACAATACTAGCTTCTTGGAATTGTGCAAATTGAAAAAATAAAATAATTCGAATCATTCCTTCTATTCCTTTAGAAGAACATTTTTGAATAATTTGAATAACATCATCTTTTTCAAGATAATTAATTAATGGCATTCCTTCAATAGATTTTTCTACTGTTGAAATAAGAATTGTTTGATTTCTTTCTGGAAGATATTCAAAAATAATACTTTGGATGGCTGAAGAGAGAAAAGATGGGTTTGAACATAATGATTGGTGAATATTAATAAGAGTTTCTTTAGTAATTATTTCAAGAGTGTTTGAAGTAAGTATATTTAATAATTCTTCATCTTTCCATTGAATAATATTAGAAATAAGTAATTGTGTTTGTCTAGAGGTTCTTAGAAAACGAAGTAAATTTGAATTTCCTGGAAGATTATTTAAATGTTGAATATAAATAGAAGAGAGTATTAAATCATTAGATTGATCATTTAAAAGTAAAGTTAATAAAAATGTAATATTATTTGTAAGTTTAGAAATAATATGAAGACGATATTGTACAGGAGTAATACAAATAATAAGATATAATATTCTAGTACAAAATAAATTTGTTAATGTATTTCCATTTAAATAACAATTTAATAGATGAAGTAATTGTGATATATTTGGTAATAAAGATAATAATAATTTATATATTTTTTGTAATAAAGAAGAATAAAAAGAATATGTCATTTTTGATGTTTGACTCAATAATTGTAATGTTAATTCTAAATATTGATATTGATTTATTGATATAATTTCAAGAAGAATAAATTGAAGAGGAAATGATAATTCATTTAAATCATCAATAATAAATTGAAATGATTGAATAGTTTTAATAGTAATTAAATATTCATCTGTATTTTCTCTTTTATCATTAATAAGAATTAACATTAATTCACTTAATTCTTTATTTACTTCTTTAATTGATATTTTAAATGAATTTAATTTAGTTAATGAATGAAGTACTTTTGAAAGAAACATAAATGCAGGTTGATTAATATTACCATTTCTTCCTATTTCATTAAGTTCATTAAGAAGATAATTAGTAATAATTTTAATTTTACTGGTTAATATACAATAACTTTCTTTATTATTTTCTTTTTCTTTTTCACAGATAATTTTTAATAATAATTTCCAACTTGTCCCATATAAGTTCTTATTTCCTGCTGATATTTTAATAATATCTAAAATACCATCAATAACATTATTTAATGTATAAATTGGTAATGATGCTTTTTGATATGAAATAATAAGTTCTTTAAGAATATTAACTATTTCACAATGGTCTTGAAGTTCTTTAATAGCACATATTACCGTATTAAATTTTTCCATTGATCCATTAATATCTACTCCATTAATTTCCTTAATTACACTAAGTATTTCTTTTAGAATTGCATTGTTTTCTTGTGAAGGACAAGATGACAATCCCTCTACGTCCATTTTTTTTTGTTTTAGTAGTTTTGTTTTTATCTTATTCTATTCCTCAATCTTTCAGATTTTGAAAATCTAAAAACAATTTAAAAAAAAAACAATTTTTATAAAAAAGAAGAATAACAAATTCAATAATTTGCATCTTTAATTCAAGTTGAAGATGTTCTTTTTTTAAGAAAACAATTTATCAAAGTATTGAAAAAGAAGTAAATATTTTGATAATATTCATTTATTGGACTTTCTATATTCTTCCTTTGTTGTAATGATGATTATAAAAGACTTATTCAACTCTATATATTTATTCAAAAGAGACATGGCTAGTAAATTTGTGATAGAAAAGAATAGAAAGTTTTTAAAAGAATATGATATTTATTCAGAAATTGATTACCATGATGCTATGAAAGGATTTTATGCTTCTTTAGATGGTCAAAAGAATACTTTAAGTTTTGAAGAATTAATTAATTCTAGAAAAACAATGAATCAAATAATTTCAGAATGTCCACTTACAGATAATCCATCTTATTATAAGAAAGCTAATATTGAAAATTTAGAGGGAGTATTTGAAATTATTCCAAAGAAGATTTACCAAGTAAGAGCATTTACTCTAGATTTAGCTAATTTTACAGTTGTAAGAGGAAAGACTGGATGGATTATTATTGATTGTATGTCAACTATTTCAGCATGTAAAAAAGCTTTTGAATTAATTCAAAATACTGTTGAAAATCTTTCAGTATCAGCTATTATTATTACTCATTCTCATGGAGATCATTATGGTGGATATTCAGGTGTTGGAAATGATGAAAGTTTATTATATCTTCCAGAAACTTTCTTTGATATGATATTTGATGAAAATATTATGGCTGGTGGAGCTATGAAAAGAAGAGGAGAATTTATGTATGGATCAAGACTTAGAAATTCATGTACAAAAGTTACTGGAAAATCACTTGATCCTACAACAATAAATATTAGTATTCCTTATTCAAAAAATACTATATTCATTAAAGAGAATTGTACTATTGATATTGATGGAATAAAATTTGATTTTATTCTTACTCCTAACACAGAAGCACCAGCTAATATGATGATGTATCTTCCAGATTTTAATACTTTAAGTGCAGCAGATAATATGATTCAAACAATGCATAATTTATTAACTCCAAGAGGTGCTAAAGTTAGAAGTGGGAAATTATGGAGTCAATATATTGATGATATAATTGTTAAATATGGTAAAGATGTTCAAATTCATTTTGGTGGACATAATTGGGCATTGTATGGAAATAAAAAAATACTTCATTTCTGGAAAACAAAAAGAGATTTATATAAATATATTCATGATCAAACATTACGTTATGCTAATTATGGATATACACCAAATGAAATTGCTGAATTTATTAAATTACCTAAAAGTCTTTCTAATGAATTTTGTTGTAGAGATTTTTATGGGACATTAAATTTTAATATAAAGTCACAATATCAATTATATCTTGGATGGTATGATGGTAATCCTGCACATTTAAATGAAATTCCTCAAAAAGAATTATCAAAAAAATATATAAAAGCATTTGGTGGAGAAGAAAATACTTTAAATATTGGAAAAGAAGCATTTAATAATGGTGATTATAGATGGGCTGTAACAATATTAAATTATTTAATATTTTCTAATCCAAAGAATGAAGATGCAAGAGAATTATTAGCTAAAACATATGAACAATTAAGTTATACACAAGAATGTCTTGTTTGGAAATATAGTTATGAAACAGCTGCTTTAGAATTGAGAGAACATCAATTTAATGAAATATTAAATAATTGTCCTTTATATCAATTACTTCCATTACAAACTTTTTGTGATCTTCTTTCAATTTCTGTTAATCCACAATTAATTAATGGAATAGATACATCAATTAATATTGATATTTTTGATACAAATGAAAGTATAATATTAGTTATTAGTAATTGTGTACTTCATACTAGATTATTTTCTTCTAATTCATTTGGTTTTCTAAAAACTAAACATGAATTTCTTATCAAATTATTTACAAAAGAAGTTAAATTAAATCAATTAATTAAAGAAAAGAAAGTTGAAACAGATTCAATAGATTTATTAAATAAACTGATTGATTCTATTTCTTTAGAAAATAGGAGATTTTTCATTGTAGAACCAAAAATTTAAAAAAAAAGATAATTGATTCTCTATTATAATAAAATTATATTTTAAAAATTTTCTTTTATAAACAATATAACTTTTACCAATATACTTTTCATTTTGATTATTAAACTCATTGATAATGAATTTAATTACTCTTAATTTTTTTTTGTTTTGTGTTAAAAAGAAATAATTAAATCAACTTTCATAAATTCTATTAGATTAATCATTAATTGAAATATTTGTATTTAAATAAACTCAAAGTTATGAAATAAAAAAAAAATATAATACATATTCAATCTAATTAGATTTGTATCATCTATTCAAAAATAAAAGATTCATTTTAAATAAATAATAAAACCAAAACAAGAATACTTATAAACCCTAAAACTTAGTTTAATAAATAGTGAATTATGTCAAGACAATCATCTATAACTACTACAAATTTATCACCATTTCAAGGGAAAATTCAACATGATTATGGAATTTATGTTTTTAATGAATCTTCAATGGAAAAAAGATTACCACCATCAACATTTAAAACAATTAAAAAATTATTAATTAATGGTGGTTCATTAACAGAATCAGAAGCAGATGTTGTTGCATTTGGAATGAAAGAATGGGCAGAAGAACTTGGAGCTGTTTGTTTTGCACATTGGTTTCAACCATTAACTTCAAAATCAGCAAAAAAATTTGATTGTTTTTTGAATATTAAAAATAGAATTTCTTCACATGCATCTCATTTAATGTCAGAATTTAGTGGTAAACAATTAATTAAAGGAGAACCTGATGGTTCTTCTTTCCCTAATGGTGGATTAAGACAAACATATCAAGCAAGAGGATATACTGCTTGGGATTATACATCTCCAGTATTTGTTGTAAAAGATCAATTAGGAGGATGTTTATATATTCCAGCAGTATTTTGTTCTATCTTTGGATTATCACTTGATGCAAAAACTCCATTATTAAGAAGTGAACGTGCATTAAGTTCTTCAGTTGAAAAATCATTAAAATATTTAGGAGGAAGTAAAGGTCCTATTAAATGTACTATTGGATTAGAACAAGAAATGTTTATAATTGATAGAGATATATATCAACATCGACCTGATTTAATTACATGTGGAAGAACTCTTATTGGTAAAAGACCATCAAGAACACAACAAATGAAAGATCATTATTGGGGAATAATGCCACAAAGAATACTTAATTGTTTAGATGATATTAGAGATGAAATGTGGAAATTAGGTGTTCCTGTATGTACTATTCATAATGAAGTAGCACCAGCTCAATATGAAATTGCACCAATATTTGAACAAGCTGGAATAGCTTGTGATCATAATATTCTTTTAATGGAAGAAACACAAAGAATAGCTAAAAGACATAATCTAGAAGTAATTTTTCATGAAAAACCATTTTTAGATGTTAATGGTTCTGGTAAACATGTTAATTGGAGTATTTTTTCTGGAGATGAAGGATTATTAATTCCTGGTGAAACAGAAGATCAAAGAAGAAGATTTTGTTTTTTTCTTGCTGCTGTTATTCAAGGAGTTGATAATCATGCTGATGTTTTAAGAGCATCTGTATTAACTGCTGGTAATACACATCGTTTAGGAGGTTTTGAAGCACCTCCAGGAATTATTAGTATCTTTTTAGGTGATGTAATACAAACATTAATTGATTCTATTACTAATAATACTAATGAAACTATTGAAAAAAAGACTTTAATTGATTTTCATCTTGAGATGCTTCCTAAAATAACAAGAGACCAAAGTGATAGAAATAGAACTTCTCCATTTGCATTTATTGGAAATAGATTCGAATTTAGAGCTGTTGGTTCTGAACAAAATGCTGCTTGGCCTATTACAGTATTAAACACAATTGTTGCTGAATCTATTGAATATATGGTAAATCAAATAGAAAAGAAGATTCTTGATGGAAAAATTGAAAAAAATGCAGTTGATGAAGTTATTAAAGAAACAATAATTCTCCACAAAAAGATTGTTTATAATGAAGATTGTTATGATAATAAGTATAGAAAAATAATGGAAAATAATGGAATTATTGAAATAAAATCTATGGATATGGCATTAGACGCATTATCTAAAAGTAAAGAAATGTTTAAAAATACTACTGTACTAAGTGAAGAAGAAGTTAATGCAAGAGTCAGTATATTAGGTGAAGCATATGTAACAACTTCTTTAATTGATATCAACCAATTATTAGATATGGTAGATCGTGAAATTATTCCTACTGTTATGGACGTATTAGCTAATGAAAAAAAACAAGCTCAGATTATTGCCTCATCATTTATTAATAAGAGAATTGAAAATATGTTGGAATGCTTTAATAAAATGCTCTTCTTTGTTGATCTCTTAAAAGAAAAAAGAGATAAAATCATAAATTCATCATGTATTGTTGAGGCAAATGAAGCAATGAATACTATCAATGATGTAAGATTTTATATCGATAAACTTGAAGGCTTAATTCCACAGAAACAATGGCCTTATCCATCTTATGAAACTTTATGGAATACTCATTGTTAACTTATTTTCAACATCAATCAATTATTGTTTAAGTCTTAGTAGTTAAAAATCAATTTCAATTTCTCCTTCATTAATTGGTTGAGTTCTTTCACTTGTTTTATTATTGGTGCAAGACGTTTCATCTTCTTCATCAAAAGAAATTTCGTTAACTTCATCTTCATCAGATAAAACAATTTCTCCGTTATTGTTATTACATAATACTTCGAGGTCATCATTAGTATCGACGTTAATACTCTTAAATGATTCAACATGAGTTTTACCTTCCACTACAGCAGTATCTCTTAAGTACAAACTCTTTACATTAATAATATCTCTCTTTAGTAATCCATATAACTGAGTAGTTTTATTGAGTAACTCTTCATTTCCAATTATTTGTGATGCCTTTATTACTTCTTCACAAACTTGTTCCATTCTTAACACACATCTAACAATTAACCCTTCAGTAGTGGCTGAAGATTCGATAACTTCATTGAATGGTTTTCTTAATGCCCATAAAGCAACACCTTCCATTAGCCCATAATTTAACTTAACATATTTTTCAATATTATATTCCATTTTTAAAGAATTTTCATAATCAACAATTTTCATTGCATATTGGTCAACAAGGTTCAATAGAGCTTTTGTTTGAAAACTAAAATGATCAATTAACTCTTCTTGTGATTCATTGCTTGGCTCAAATACAAATACACTGAAAATAGCTGCCATTTCATGAACTTCTAATTGGTTTAATACTCCATCAAACATCATATTAGTTAAAATCATTCCATCAGAACTAACCATTTCCTTTGCTACTTTTCCTTTTAATGTTAATAAATTATGTTCGTCAACAAAATTAAAATGTTTAAGTACTTCTAATCTTAAATTTAATTCTCTGTCAACTCGTTCTTTATTCATTTGATATTTCCCAGTAATTTCGTCAATCATTTTTTCTAATTGTCTTTGTGCTTTATCTTCTTGTTCCCCAGATTTATAAGCAATACAAGTATATGCTGGCATTGCTTTCATTATTTTTGTATCTTCATTGTATTGTTTTAGAAGAAGAGTATACCCTTCTGGTCTTTTTTTTTCATTTTGGTATGGTTGGAAAAATGGTTCTTTTCCTCTATTTTTTTTAAATCCTACTAATCTATCATATAAAGCTTGTCTTTGGTTATTTTCTATTTCAAGAAGTGCTTCTGAATAATCGTTACCTCCTTTTGCTTTAAACTGTTTCTGATAAATAGCAACCATATCACTAAATAATATAAATTCATTTACCCCTTTCTTTTCATCAAAATAATAGACCATTGACCCATTGTCTAATGGTTCAATAATAACTCCATAATACCTTTTCTCATTTCCTGCTCTAACTTTAATAACTCTTCCGTTTATATTAAAATTGTTGCCTCCTTTTAGTTTTGCTTCAATTATTTCTCTTGTTATTTCTTTTTTAATATCTTTAATCTCTTTTTTAATAAGATCTAATGCATCATGATCACACTCGGGATTTCCACAAACAGTGGTAGTGTGTTGAAGTAATTTTTTAGCTTCTTCAGCTAAATTATTTCGTTGAGCCATTTCAAATAAATCAATTTTTGAATATGATTTCATCATTTGTTGTGTAAGATCATCTCCTCCAAAACATACCCAATTTAACATCATCCAATATGTAATATAAAATTGACTAATCATCTTTGCTGGTGCTCCGCAAGATATCTCTTGCATTTGTTTTGGAGATGGTAATATTTGATTAGGAAAAATAATAACATTTCCTGCTGCATCTTTACCTCTTCTACCTGCCCTTCCTGCCATTTGTGTGTATTCTCCTGGTAATAAAAATCTGTTTTCTTTTCCATCAAATTTTTCAACAGAAGGAAAAATTACAGATTTAGCAGGCATATTTACTCCCATTGCAAAAGTTTCAGTAGCAAATAGTACTTTAATATCTCCTTGTGAAAATAATACTTCTACAATTTCTTTTAAGAATGGAATTAATCCGGCATGATGTACTCCGACTCCTCTCATTAATAATGATTTTACTTCACTTATTTGAGGTAAATTTTTCTCAGAATCTACAAGTCCTTCAGTCATTTCTTTAAATAAACTATTAATTTTATATGGGTTAGTATCAAATTTAGTTGCTTTTGCTAACTTTTTAGCATAGTCCATAACTAATCTACGACTAAAAATGAAGAAGACAGCTGGAAGTTTTGTGTCATGTTCTAAATAATTAATTAATTCTTCTATTGAATTAACTCCATGTAACTGGTCTTTTACTCTTCGATTTTTTGAAAATTTAGGAACAATACGTTCATATGCTTCATTATAATTTTTTCCAATGAAATTATTTTCACCTTTTTTAAATAATATAAGCTTTGATGGAAGTTCTTCTTTTTTTTTACAAAAAACATAATGTT